TGCTTCCTCGGGGTGATGTGTTCACTAACACATTGCCTGTTTGCTTCCCCCCCTCCTTTTAGGAGGCTGTTTGTCACTGTGGGTAAACAGATGTCGCTGTTTTTATTTGTGTGGTTTTTTTTGTTTGTGTTGCTTTGTTTTTTCCTGTTCTATATTTATAGAGCTTTCAGAGCAGTTCGTAAACTATTGTCTCAGCCATACAAATCATTTCTAAACAAATCCTGCCCCAACCACCCATGTACTACTCCTGACTCCTGTTTTCTTCTCTCCTGATTGGGGGCTAGAAGCAGCAGACTTGTTCTTGCTTGTTATCTCTCCTGCCTCTGCATTTAGAAAGGGTTTGCGCCCATCCCATGGGGCTGTCAGCTCCAAAATGCTGCTCCCCCCTGGCTCCCTGCAATCCAGACAGAAAATTGCAGTGAGGTGTATACCCTACATCCTTGTGTATGTGTGATAGTGCTGCTCTATCTAAAATAGGCTGAGATGCTGCTTATCTTTCCATAATCTGCCATTTGGACATGCGCTGTTGCGGTCTTTTGAGGCTTTAGGATGCATGTGGGACATAATTTTCCAGATGTTTTGCCACACAATCACATCTGTCACAGGCTTTTTAACATGCAGTTTCCTGTGTAGTTACACAAATATTGGAAGAGGAAACATGACTGCAAGCTGTAAGCTTGCGGGAATGTCTGTGCAAGATGTCAGCGCACAGCTGTAATTATTGATATCAAATATATTAGATACTGGGCTACCAAACAGGTATTAAAAATATATTCATGGCTTGCACTCTGATTCACAGGAAAATTGACCATCTGTTACAGGTTTCCTTCTTGCTCAGTAAAACTTCATGTAATATCCACTAAAAAAGGATGAATTTTGGGCGACTATGGTGTTTTTTTTCCTTTTTAAATTTATTTTCTTTTTTTTTTAATAGGATTGTTAGCAAGAATTGCCAAAATTGGAACACCTTTATGACTTGTGCATTTTCTGTCACAATTCATACCTGACACCTGAGTATCTGGGCTTTAACCCTCCACAGCCTCACTGCCAGGCTGTGACTTTGGGGAGGCTCCTGCAAAATCCTACCGAGTAGCTGTAAGGTCAATTCAGGGAGCAGTGGGAGGCAGCAAGAATTAGGATCTTTGCATGCCACCTGGACAGTGTGTAATCCCAATCCATGGGCGCCTGCGGGTGGTCGTTTGTACTAATGAATTATATTTTCTGTCCTGTGTCCGTGCTTTGCACAGGGACAAGATAGGCAGGCAAGGCTTTCACTGTTGTTATTGCCATCTTGCTTTTCTGCAAGTCTCCCATCTTACCTGGCTTGTATCCTTTGATAAGCACAGTCTTGACTCAAAGCCTGGTTCTTTCTGTCTAGCGCTGCCAAGTCCTCTGGAATGTGGGACCTGAAACAGCCTTTTTACAAAGGGAAAAGTTTGCACAGAAGCCCTCCCTTCCCTTCTTCTGTCCAAAACCTCCCTGCATCCTTGCAATTAGCTGCATTCCAGACATACCGGCCGAGGATGGCTTGCAAAAGTGTCTCGAATGGACTGAAGTAGCTCGTGTTCCAGCCATCCTTCCTATAATGCAAATTTTCCTTCAGTGCATTCCAGAAAAGGGCACTCCAGTCCTCCAGGGCTTGCTCCTCCTCAAATCACCCACAAAGATACCGGCTGCTTTAATAGCAGGGAACTACATCCAAGGCACTTGTCTACATGTCTCCATTATCTCCATGTTCCTTGCAAAGCCCTGTCATCTAAGGAATTTGGTTTGGGGGCTTATTTTCTGCTTGTTTATTTTCATTTGGGGAAGAAAGTTGATGGAGAAGCAACGTTAGGAGCAAATTAAAAGCTTTTGGGTTGCTGAATTCATGCACCTTGGTAAGGAATTTGTGTTTGAATGCAACTTTCAGTTGCTTGGGGCTTTATTTTTGAGAGCTCTTCATGTTTTTGAGCAGGCTGGAGTTTGGCACAGCTGTGGGGAGTCTGATCAGATGGGCTTTTCAGTATGATTTGCCATCTTAGAGCGAGGATGATGCCAGATACTTTACCTGTGATGGAGTTAGACTTTGTACCTACTCCATGGTACAAACCCTGAATTAGCAATGCCCAGTTCAGGCCCTAGGTCACCTCTATGCTCACATGTGTGTCCCCAGCCTTCCTGGTCACCCCCAAAACTCCAGAGGACATATTGATGAAACAAGAGGAGGTTTTAGCCGCACTTATATGAGTTCCAAGCCTCTAGGTTGCTGGTGGAACTCCTGGCCTCTTCTCCAAGCAAGCGGGGAATGGGTTAATTTATCTCTTGGCACTCGTACGGCTGCCCTTCCACAGTGTTTAACCGTGCAGAGCATTTCTGGATGTGTTTGGTGTGGTTGGTGAATCTGCCCCATCCCTGTTGGTGTGGTGAGATGGGAGAGTTTTGGAACAGATGGCAGAGGTGATGTGCTCCTGCCCACCAAAAATGCTTTGCCAAAAGGGGAAGAAGAGCATTAGCATGAGTTGGATCAGTCTGCTTGGCATGTAGAGAGCAGAGGAGCTATCTGACGCTGGGCAAGGTGACTTGGAATCCTCTTAGCATCTGTACAGTACCAGAGCTAGAGTGGGGAGTTGCAATTTGGAGGTGACTTGGGGGAGCCTCCCAGGAAAATGTGTGTGCATGCAGTGGGGATGAATGCAGGCTGGGGACAGCTTCCTGTGACCCACCAGCTCTATGCTCCTCAAACCTCCAACCTACCAGCCACGTGATGTGACGGGTGCGTCTAAAAATACCCTTACAGCGCCTCCTCCTCGTGACCAGCTGGGATGATGACGGCATTGTGGCTTTGAAAGGGCCATGGGTTGCGTTTGGAGCGTGGTCTGAGCGGGCCACTTAGCACGTGATCGTGCTGCGGCCCCTGTTTCCTGCCCCGAGCTCTCTGGTGTCCCACTGGAACAAGTGATTTTCGGAGGAACTTCCCAAGCCGGCACCCACCACCACAACACATTGGTTTGTGTTTACTGTCATCATCCTATTACTTGGATCTCGTGATCACTTTACTGGGGTGGAAGCTCAGGTCCCCTTCAGCAGTGTTGTGAGTTATTAGAAGAGCAGGTCCAGGTATTTTTTGAATTCATTGCAAGCACCTCAAAATCTTGTGTGTTTTGGGTTCGATGTAAGTAATCAAAACGGAAAAGGGCAAGCGAGCAGAGAAGACCAAGGCAGTATGAAGTTACAAGAAAAAGAGGAAAATCTGCTTTACTGCAGAGACAGAGGTTTGCATCAGTTGGTGAGGTCCAAGGCTGGTTGCATCTCCAGCTGGTCTCGTTGGTGACGCCCAGGGTGGGAGGGGAGCCCGTGACAGACATGTCCATGAAGGTTCTGCTCCTCACTCTGCTGGACCCACTGGCGTCTCTTGTTCATTGTGATTTCCTATGAATTTGTTGCCTCTGAGATCAGTCACTCCATGGACACCTTGCAAACAGTTTCTGTAAGATGTTGGCCTCAGCTGTTTGTGGTTTTGTCTGCGGGGCAGAGGAGACTTAAATAGAGGCAGAGGAAGCAGGTGTCAAGAGTGAATCCCTCGTCTGTCTTGGGATCCCTGGAAGGAGCAAGTGGGAAGAACCTTTTCTTCTTTCAAGATGATGTTAATACTGTGGCAGGAGGCAGCAGTGACCCGGTTTTCCATGCAAAATCCAGTCACGTGAACCTCCTCCAAGTTGACTTGGCAATCGTTACCCTGTGGGATCCCGCAGTCCCACTGCTCCCAGCTGGGAGCACTTTATCATTTTATAAATATGCATTGCAGGAGTGTAAAAATACCCTAAAGTTCAAAATTGTAACTAAAAAGGAAGAAGGACCAGTTTATGAGCCAGGGAACAACCTACCCCGAAGTAACTCTTAGGGGAAAGAGGCCTGTTTTTGTACAAGGATGCAAACGAAGAGCAAGACTGGGCTGTCTGTGATATCCAAAGCCTTTGATAATTTGTATGCATGATTGTACATATGCTTGTTAGGAGTAGCACGGATAATCTTTCTTGACGTTTTAAGGAGGATGCAAGACAGTTTTTCTGAACCAGCGCTGTAGGGCTAGCATACACATAGGAAAAGATGCCTTCCTCCAGCGGTGCTTTTTTGATAAACAAATAAAAGGAAGGAGGGAAGCATACAGCTGGAGACGTGAGCAAAAGGATAAGCAAATTGCCCACAGGTTGGTGTGAGGCTGAAGCTGTGAAACACATTTCCTTTGCATCCTTTGGGATATTTTGCAGTGCTGTGTTTGAAGATCTCCCTCCTGTCAAGCTTGAGCCGGTCAACATTTCCAAGTGCATGACATGGGTGTTGTACTGTAAACTAGGGCTTTCCCTAACCTCTTGTCTTTTGCTTTCCTTCGCAGGCTGGTTACCCAGGCTCTAGGGGTGCTGTGGTGACGCTGGGATCCCTGTAGCTGGCTGTGCCAGCCTAGCAGCTCACCGCCACGGAGAGGCCATGAGCGCCTAGCGCTCCCTGAGCAACGAGGCGGCTTCGAGATGGCGGCTCAGAGGATCCGGGCGGCCAACTCCAGTGGCCTGCCGCGCTGCAGGTCGGAGGGGACGCTCATCGACCTCGGCGAAGGGTTCTCAGAAAACAGCTTGAGCGACGTCAAAGGTGAGGGAGTCCTTCTCCATCTCTTGGCTTGGTGGATGCTTGGCCACCACGCGCACCTCTTTGCTCATCCCTGGCATGGGCTTTACCTTGGTGTGGGGTGTGGGATGCAGAGATATGTGTGGGAAAGGATGCTTGGAAGCTGGACGCACCATTGTCCTGGTCCAGCTCGAGCCATCTTGAATAGCTGCCTGCTATATCAATCTGGACGTGCATGTGACATCTGGATGCAGAAACAGAGAGGGAAAACATGAGGATTGCTTACAAGGGAGATGAGTAAAAGGCAACCTGATGGAGAGAGATGAAGCAATGAATAATACGCCTTCCTGTTTACTGCCGCTTTTTTGTTTTCTTCACCAAGATCAGAACAACGGGATATTCAGTGAAACTGAAAGGCAGCAGATTTTATGGTTTTTCTCTCTCTCCGTTCCGGAAGCACGTGGCTGTTATTGCTGGGAGATAAAACAAGACAAAGGAGAATACTTTAATTCATAAGGCTGAGTGAGGGTCTCTGTTTATTGCAAATGGAAAATAAACCCCAAGTGCAGCATGCCTTCCCTTCCCCCTGCATAGGAGGTCAGCTGTTAAATCATCTCTCTCTGGTTTGACAGACCTTCAGCAGCAAGATCTTTGTCCTAAACAGTGTCCTAACCACAGGCTTTTCCTGATCTCCCTGTCCTCCCTGAGAAACCAGGTATCAGAGAAAGGTTTGCTGGTAACCCTGAGCTGTGGGTTCTCTCCAGCAAAGGGCTTGAGATATGTAAATACTTTTATAGCGACTTACTACCAGTGACAAAGAGGTTTCAGTGGGATTTTTTTTAAATGTGATTTTTGCAGTGAGTAAATGTCCTCATGACTTTCATTGCCTGCTGGGAGAGGGAGGGGATCGGGAAGTGAGTGAAGTCATCTGTGTACAATCTCTTCTTTTTTCAATATCAGAGCCCTCAAGTCATTGTTTTTGAAGATTTGTTTTTTTGCTTATGTTTAAGTTACTTTTTAATTCCATAGTGGCATTGTGAACTGCTCTGTGACTGTTAAAGGTCTACTCTTTCTGTCGTGTTTTCTTGGTTTTGTAAGGCTGTCAGGCATACTAACCTTCCAAGTGCCCTCCTTTTTCATGTGATTTTATATGATCAAAAAATCTCTGCTCTGCCATCCGTTTGCCTCCAGGATTTAGGGACTTCCTATGTGAATTTTTATAGTATTTTTTTTCCCTCCAGAGAGCTAACAAGGATATCAAAACAGTCGTCGTCCTAGTTCTCTTGCTGCCCCGTATTTGTGAAAATGTAGCTCTTTTCCCTGTCCCCTGTAGGTTTTGTTGTCTTAGGCTTCTGTAGTAAGATAACAAATGTCCAAATGCCACCATAACGTTATCTGCAGCTTGCTTCTGGTGCTTTTTAAAGAAATAAGTCCTTAACAGGAAACGGAAAGCAATAAATACAGTGATGGCTTGAACATCTGTAGTCTTTCTTGAGCCGTTTTGTTTGTAATTGGGATCTGGTAGTACCAGCAGAATGACTTTCAGACAGACTTCTGCTGAAAGCATCACGCTGAAAGGGAAATTGGACATGCTGCCATGCTACCACCTTAGTGGGTGCCATTAGTTGTTTCCAACCATGAAACGCAAGATGTTTCATATAAAAGAGCGATTAGGGCAGGACGAAACCACTTTTAGGCTGCTGCTGCTGCCTTGAATTACTGGGCGACGTACTTGAAAAACAGGTGTTCACCTTCAGCTGCCGAGTTAACTATTCACAAAAAAATCAAAGACATCAGTGATAAAAAGACATGGCAGCTAAAGACATTGAGATACCACTGACCAAACGTGTAGGAAAAAGTCTGTGAAGGATCACCTGGGTCATTTTGGTTTTGTACAGTCTAACATCAGTTATTGCAATCTGCTGGAAGGAGGTTTGCCTTTCCTGCACCTGCATTGCTATTATGGGACTGCAATAAATTGTTTCCTCTCCTGTGTAGGCTCCTGCTCAGCTGCTTTGAACCCCCGTGTGTCAGATTATGAACTCTTTGGAGAAGACATTCTCTTGCACCACACAGACACCTCAAAAACAGTGGAGGGAGATATTTTGTTTCTCAAAATTTTCAAATTTTTGTTTGAAATTTGTTTTGTTTCTCAAAATAGTTTCTCAAGCCTAAAGATATACTAACTAAAAACTAACTTGGCTTTACAGGTTCAAGTAGCATGGGTTGCTTACTTGAAATAAATGTGTATAAATAACTTGTGACTCACTTGTTGCTTGATTCCTTACACTGCTGTTTTTCTTCACATTGCAGTGCCTTCCCCTAGTGCCTTGTTGATCGACAATCCCACGTCCTTTGGAAATGCGAAGGAAGTAATAGCAATCAAAGATTATTGTCCAACTAATTTCACTACCTTGAAGTTTTCTAAGGGGGACCGCCTCTATGTCTTAGACACGTCAGGAGGCGAGTGGTGGTATGCCCACAACACTACAGAAATGGGTTACATCCCTTCCTCCTATGTGCAGCCTGTAAACTACCGCAACTCCTCCTTAACAGACAGCGGCATGATAGACAATCTACTGGAGAGCCCTGATGAGGGGGTCAAGGAGTTGGATCTGCTTGGAGAATGGACTGATGGGAAAAGAAATTCTGCCAAAACCTACAGTAATAACCCTTTCTTGAATGGAGTTCAGACAAACCCATTTCTGAATGGGAATTTGCAAACAATGACCAGCTCTGACAATGAGTCCAACTCCAAAGCTACTGTTGACTTGCTGCTCTTTGACACAGGAGCTCCTAATTCAGCAGTTTCCAGTTCAGCCGCTAATAGCAGCATGGGTAACATTTTTGAGGAGTTTCCATGCACAAACAGGTTGGAGATGGAACAGACTGTGAAACGGGACAATCCCTTCTTTAGGAGCAAACGCTCCTACAGTTTGTCCGAGCTGTCCGTTCTTCAAGCTAAGTCGGACACTCCAACATCAGGCTTCTTCAGTGGTTTGAAGTCTCCCACCCCAGAGCAGTTCCAGAGCAGGGAAGATTTTAGGACCGCGTGGCTGAATCACAGGAAGCTGGCCCGGTCTTGCCATGATTTGGATTTGCTTGGTCAAAGTCCTGGCTGGGGCCAGACACAACCTGTGGAGACCAACATTGTCTGCAAACTGGATAGCTCTGGTGGTGCTGTTCAGCTTCCAGATACCAACATTAGCATCCATGTGCCAGAGGGTCATGTGTGCCCTGGAGAAACACAGCAGATCTCCATGAAAGCGATGCTGGATCCACCACTGGAGCTGAACAGTGACAAGTGCAGCACCATCAGCCCAGTCCTACAGATCAAACTGAGCAATATGGAGGTGAAAACCTTCATCATTTTGGAGATGAAGGTGTCGACAGAGGTCAAGAATGACATAATGAGCAAGAGTTTGGTGGGACTGCAGTGCCTACGGAGCGATATGAAGGAGGGGCCGTACACGCCAATGCAGCTGAGCTACTCATATGGGGACACAATACAAGTCCAGCTGGAGAATCTGGAGCCTTGCATGTACATCGCAGCTGTAGCCCAAGGGCAGAACATCCTCTACCCTCACACTGTTTGGGATTACATCAGCAAGAAGATCACGGTTGGTGTCTATGGCCCAAAACACATCCATCCTTCTTTTAAAACTGTTGTGGCTGTGTTCGGCCATGAATGCGCACCCAAGACTCTATTGGTGAATGAAGTCACACGACAGGCTCACAATCCTGCTCCTGTGGCCCTGCAACTTTGGGGTAAACATCAGTTCACTTTGTCACGGCCTCAGGACCTCAAAATCTGCATGTTCTCCAACATGACCAACTATGAGGTAAAAGCTAGTGAGCAAGCCAAAATTGTACGAGGTTTCCAGATGAAGCTGGGCAAGGTCAGCCGCCTTATCTTTCCCATTGCATCTCATGACCCCAATGAGCTCTCAGACTTCACTCTGAGGATACAGGTCAAGGATGACAAGGATGCGATTTTGACCCAGTTCTGTGTCCAGACGCCACAGCCACCTCCTAAAAGTGCCATCAAGCCAACAGGGCAGAGGCGATTTCTCAAGAAGAATGAGGTTGGAAAGATCATTCTTTCACCTCTGGCTGCCACTGCCAAGTATCCAGTTTTTCAGGACCGGCCAGTGTTGAACTTGAAGTATGGCAAACTACTGAAAACCGTGGTGCGACAAACCAAGAACCACTATTTGCTGGAATACAAGAAAGGAGATGTCATAGCCCTTCTCAGTGAGGAGAAAATCAGGTTGAAAGGGCAGCTGTGGACAAAAGAGTGGTATATTGGCTACTACCAGGGGAAAATAGGCCTTGTGCACACCAAAAATGTGCTTGTGGTTGGGAAGGTCAAGCCCAGCTACTTCAGTGGGCCTGACCTCACTACCAGCCTATTGCTTGAGCAAATCCTGAGACCCTGCAAATTTCTAACCTATATTTATGCCTCAGTGAGGACTCTGCTCATGGAGAACCTCAGCAGCTGGCGGTCGTTTGCTGATGCACTAGGGTACTTGAACTTGCCGCTCACGTTTTTCTGCCGAGCAGAGCTGGACAGTGAGCCAGAGCGAGTGGCCTCTGTGTTGGAGAAGCTGAAGGAAGATTGCAACAACTCTGAGAACAAGGATAGGAAATCTTTCCAGAAAGAGCTGATGACGGTGAGTACAAGGTCTGCTGGGACATTTCAATTCTCTGTGATGTATTCAGAGCAATCAGTATGAATGGGAAATTTCCTAACTCAATATGCACAAATGATGTGTGATTTTTCTTTTCTTTTTTTTTATTTTTTTAAGGTCTTCTGCAGGCTGCTCAGCACAGCGAGGTGTAAAGTTTTGCCCTGCTATTATGTGTTGGCAAGTTTAATGATAAGTTGTCTGTAAATGAAGGCATCGTTGCACAAAATACTATACATAAACATCATATTGGGGGAACAGACAGGACTGATTCAGAAGGTAGATGGTCTGAAGCCCCTCAATATCAGTGGAACTTTGGTCCAGTATTTTCAGAGCATTCAAGTGGGCATTTATATACCTTAGTGGTATATAAATGGCATGCTTCCAGCAGTCACCTGAAAGCTGCTAGTCCTTTCATCCCTGATGTAATAGCAATATGTGTGATGGAGCTCTTGGCTGTCATGGCAATTCTGAAGATAGCACAGAAAACTGGGAAAGGGCAGGAACCCTAAAAGCTATTGTTAGGGTAGGAAAGCCACCTCTTGATTCACATGATTTTGGATTGCTGAGTAGAGTAATGCGTGCTGGAGAGGAGGTTTATGGATACTGTGAAGGATGGATGCTACTGTGAAGGATAGTTTGTAAAGATGAAGCAACCCAAAATTACTGTTTTTTAAAAAATTAATAATAGTATAATGTCTTTTACTCCTTGAGTGACATCTAAACTAATGACACTTCTGAGTTGGGATGCTTTGTGTTCTTTGTGTTCAACTGTGAATCGTTTTTGCAAATTGTCTAAAATTTTTGTGCACTTTATGTCCTAAAAGGCTTTTGGGGTGAAGTGCTGTCTGTGAGTATGCATAGGATGCCATTAGGAGGATTCTTAAAATGAATCATCTTCACAAGGACAAGTTCTAACATTTCATAGAATATAAGTCAAAAAAAATAGCAAGCCTTACTGTCTCAGAGAGATTTGCAGCTCTTGACTTCTAACAGGCTCCTGTAGAAGCAGATAACTGGGTTACAGCAAATCATGTGCTTTAAAATGCCAATTTAATTATGGAATAGCAAAAGCTTCCCTCGGCAGTGATGTGCACAGGCAGTAGTGCAAGAACATGCAGCATGCAAAATGAAATTATGAATGAGTAACCTGAGTCAAAAGGACTGGGGCTAAATGAAATATTGCATATCACTGCTTCCGTTTAATAAGAACGATGAATTTTGAGGACTGAATAGTTGGGTGTAAGACATTATAAAGAGTGTGGAGCCATTCATTACTCGTGGAAATCCTGTCTAGCATGTTCAAGGGGTTACTCGTGAATGTATTTACTCAGCCTAATATTGCAGTAGAGCTAATAACTCTTTACAAAAAGCCCTGTTCAACTTTTGGTGTCAGTGTGGAAAATGGGAAGATAGTTTGTGAAAGGTGTGACTCATGGCTGTTACATTGCAATTAGGGTGATCACTGGAGCTGTCTTTGTTCATGTTCATTTAGGGGAAGGATATTAAAATGCAGAGTTGAACTGCCCAAGGGAGCACAGAGAGTTTGGGAAGCTGTAATTACTAGAGGATATTGCAGTTCCTCTGTGCTCCTCTGGCTGGCTCGGACCAGCTTTCTTCCAAACGCAGCTGTGTTCTTGTCCCTTTTTGAAGGGAACTCCCTGTGTGCTAGACCAATGGAGATGGCAAAGAGCAGCACGGGTGGTGTCACAGTGAGCTTTAACAGATGAGGCTTGCACCTTTTCGGACACTCTCCCGTTCTTTGCAGACGTTGATTGGTGTGATTAGCCATTTTAGCAGCCCAAAACTGATGGTGCTAAGCTACCCATCAGACACTTTGTCAAGAAGCCAAGGATCTGCTGTGGTTGCAATCATTTATCTGACCAGAGATTACAGTAGATCACAAGTAACCTTGCTGTGCGAGTAGCAATTTGTGCCTAAACAGGGCAACTTTGGTTCTTGGTACCGTGCAGACACTGTGGCACCAATTGATGGCAGGCCATGCCACCAATGCTGATGCTTTTTAGGAGTTCTTGTCATCATGTGCAGTTGTGTCGCAGTCTTGAGGACCATCCAAAAAGGAAAAATACCACGGTATTTTTTTTGTTTTGTTTTGTTTGCCATCACTGGAAGCAGCAGCAGGCTGACAGAAAACTGGGCTCAGCACTATGGCTGGAGCAGCGTGTTCCCATCTGTCAGTTCTGAAGGTTGTCCATAAAGGCTGAACAAAAAAGGTAGTAACCAAAATGCTAGAGCATCTCAGGGAGCCATTTAAAGTCCTCTATGGCTGGTTGCTGTGTTAGAGAGAGGGCAGCTTGTAAGCGAAAACCTTCCTGAGATGTGATCTGCTTAAAAAGAATCAACTGGTACAACCACATTGTCCTCCCAGCTCCAAATGGTCCTGTAGCAGAGCATGGGCAGCAGGTAGGAGGAGGATTCAGGAGACCTTAGAATAAGACCTGACCCAGTAGCTCACATTTGCCCCTAGCAGCATGCTGGGATGGCTCTGTGCTGCTGCCATCTGCACTTACTTGTTGCACCTCCAGGTGAGGCTTGGGGTGATGGTTTGCACCTCCAATCCCTATGCAGTGTGAGCTTGGTGCACCTTGCACACAACTGTGTCCCATGCTGTTTTAGCCACAGCTCTTTTGGCTGGAGCAATCTCCTCTTTAACTTGTAAGTCAGGAGAAAGCTTCAGTCATGGCTGATTTCTGCCATTGGAAACACCTTGTGTCTAAAGGTCGGTTTGCACCTTGAGTCAACAGCCTAGGTGAGTGATGTGGTGAAATGCATGTTCCTGTTGCTAAAGGCTTCAAGGCCTTTGAGCTGTTTGCCCTACTGCTTTGAAAACCTGTTGTAAGCACTGTGATGTCTTTACTCCAAGGATCAAAGGTAGTCCGTAGGTCATGGAAAAGTTGAGCCAGACCTAAATGTTTAGATGAACAGAGGCATGAGGCTCTCTGGATTCTTATACACCAGTCGACTCAAGGGGAGAGCCATTAGTTGCCTGAAAAAAACATATTGCTCCCAAAGGGATGCAGCTAGTGCAGAATCCCATAATAGGTTTTATTTTCATTATTCAAATGGAAATTGTGAGTCTGAGTCCGCTGATAAAGAATGAGCCCTGTTCATGGTGTAAGAGAACGCTTCCTCTAAACCCCTCGCTGCTGTTTAATCCTCCTTGGCTCCAGAGAAATTAGACTGAGCATGATCTTAGAAAGAAAAAAGAAAATAAACAGGTGCTTCGGAGTATGACAACCGAGCAGCAATATTTTTTTTGTGTGTTTAATTTTATTTGTAACAAGCAGACTTGCTGTCCAGCATCTGCTGGTGAGACGAATCGGTTGGATCAAACTCTGATCTGGCCATTTCACATTAAATTTGGATGCCTCATTTCAAAGCAGGGGAATAGTAAGCAGGCTTATCAGGCTTCAGTGTTGATCACACAAGATGAGGTGGGCAGAGGCATACACCAGTAGCCAAGCGTGGAAGGCCTCCAGGTGAATGGCGTGCTCTGTTGTGATGGCTAGTTAATAAATAATCGTTTTTTTCTTTCTTTCTTTCTTTGAAACCTAGCACTAGCAGCAGTGTGTGAAGGTAACTGCGGAGAACATTCTTCAGAAGTTAGTCATCACATCAGAGAGAGAGCTATACCCCTCCCCTCCTCTCTGCCCATCAAAAGCAAACTACATGCAGATTACCTTACCAAAAGAGCCTGTAATAATTTGAGTTCCAAATTTGCAAGATGCTTTGAGCTGTGCTGATGCCTCAGGAGGGAAGTCCCTTGCTGGGTGGTGTGCTCAGCAGGACCCCCGTACGCTCTGCCCTCTGACAGTGCTGTGCACTATGCTGTCCACTCAGGTTGGTGGAGGTGCTGGAAGCTGTGCTCATAGGTGAACCTTGTTTCTAAGCTGTGTTCCCATGGCGGGGAAGAGGCACTTTCTCCAAAAGCATCTCAAACAAACTTCCTTCTAACCAGGCTGCCAGTAACTGTCTCTCCTTGGGTGTTAAGAGATGGGAAGAAGTGTTTGCTTACATCTCCATGGAAGAGTTTTAAGGCAATATGTTTCTCCCTTGTGGCTGGTTCCTGCATCCCAGCTATCAGGAGGAAACACCATTAGAGTCTACAAGCTCTCAGAGTGCAAAAAAAAAATCGGTTTCAGGCTTGTAGGAAAAGGCCTTTGGGTGCTTTTGAAAATGTTACTCACCTACCGCAGCATAATCAAATGCACTCAAGTCGCTACAGGGAAACACGCCAGGTTTCATTTGAGAAGCAAGACCTGACTTGCTACAGAGCAACTACATTACCTGGTCCTTTGGAGCTGGAGTTAAGGGTGATGAGATGCAGCATTTCTCTTTCTCTCTTTAGATACATCGTTTTTGTTGCGTTTTTCTCTTCCTTTCCAAAAAGACCCTGCTCAGAAGCAATGGAAGGATAAAGATGTTTTCTTGTCCATAGTGTCTGTGGGCCCCAAACAACTGCTGATGGGCCCAAATAGCTCTGGGTCCCCTTAATATCCTGCAGTGCCCAGGCTTGGGCTTTGCACTAGCGTTTGTGAAGCAGGCCAGCCCCAAGTTGCTTATGCTGGTGCCCTCTTGCTCCTGCATCCGGAAGCAATCTGCTGGATGGGGTAGTGCCTTTGGGTCAGAGGTGGAAGCCACCTGCTGCCTCTGCCCTGCACTCAGGGGAGCAAATGCCCACCTGCATGTGTAGATAGCACTTGTTGCTCCCATAAGGAATTTATGCAAGTGCTACACTGGAGTTGGTGGAAATTTTTGTGTAGGACGTGGTTTGTCCTTGCGCAGACAGGTGGCTTACAGCAGCTCCTTTTCACATGAGTAACTTAACTTTTGTGTTTTTTTTTTTTTCTTCCCTACCTCTCATCAAATAAGAGAGAGCTGCAGAAATGTGTTCTGCTCCTGGTTCCTCCATGGGCCAGGCCCAGGTGGTGTGCTGGGAACAAAAGGAAAATATTCCCTCAAACACAGCTGGCATGGGAAAACCCTGCCTGGCAATCAAAGCAAGGTTACACCAAAGAAACCCACAGCAACCACCTATGCAATGCGTCCCTGCATGGGGGCCTGCCCTGCAGACAGTTTTTATTTTGGGGGCATTTGTAGGGAGATGGTCGATGTTCCCGTGCTCCTCAGTAGCGGGGCTGGGCTGTTGTGCCTTATTGCTGCGGTCTCTGCTCTTGGGACTGCTGGCTGGGAGCTGCTGCGTGGGGCTGGGTGTTCTGCTAAAGGGGTGCTCCCCTCTGCACGCACCGTCCCTGAACACCCAGCCTCGCTTTCTTGGCTTTTAACTTGTGTAAGAACTGCCTTCTCGCACAGTCCTGCAGTAGTTAATAGAGCACTAAATATTACTCCTAAGTGTAACCGTATCTGCTCCTCCGCCTCTCCACCCAGCCGAATGCCACCTTGCAAAAGTTCCAGGCGTTGATTAACGTGCAATAAGGCTCGGGTTCTCCAGGGTCTTTCCCAAGTTAAATGGTGTTTAAGGAATCATTAACTAGTTAAAAGCCATTTCCCTAATGACTTCCTCCTTGCGATTCACTTGTGGGGCGGGAATGGATTCTGGGTGGTTTTACCCTGCCTGGGTAAAGAGGAAGGATTTGCCAAAGACAGGGCAAAAGGAGGCAGCCAGTTTTCAAAGGGCTTCACCAAATTCTGAGAGAAGTGGGTGTCAAGAGGAAGGAGACTGCATGGGTGCACCTGTGGCTGGGAGTAGGGCTGTGGGTGGCCATGAGTTTGAACAGGACAGCTGCAAAACCCTTGCAAAAGCGAGCCTTAAGCAAGTGTTGTGCCGCAACTGCTCTCTGTAGCTGCCTATTCCCTTTGTTTTTCTCTTCCTCTTTTTGCGTAAGTGAACACAGGCAAGCAAAAGGGAGAGGGAGGTGAAGGGGGGTGCAGAAATGGCAGGGTGCATCATCAACCCAAGCTGTGTGGAGCAGCCGTGTTCATCGGCTCCTTCCTTGGCGTCGTGCCCAAGCTCCCCTCGGGGCTGTCGGTGCTGCGCTCGCTCAGATGCTGTTTTCCCCGACGAGAGCGTTGGAAGTGGGATTCTGCATTCCAGAGGCGAAATGCAAATGCTGCCTCCCTGGGTGCGTAGCAGGGATGGGTCCTCCTGCGCCGCTTTGAAGTGCAACCCAAGCAGCAGAGCGTTGCCTCTACTCCAGTGTGTGCCCGGCTGGTGGAGCAAGCTCAGAGGCCTCTATGGCTGATACACGGGGTAGGCTTTGGTGATGACCATCGTTAGAGACCAGGGGTAATGGGAAGGGAGCGACCGTAGGAGCTGGGTGCGCACATGCAATTCCCCTTGGGAGCTTGGCGTAGAGTGAGGGAGGAGGATGGGAAACAAAATTGGAGCGTAATCCCAAAAGCGCCTGCTGGAGGATTAAAGTCTCTTGTGAACCCCACTGATCCTGGCTGGACTTTCAGAAGAGCCCCAAGCCTGCTGGTAATTTGTGCATTTCTGCGGTGAAATGGAAGGGGTTGTGAACTGGCCAGCTTGTCTGTCACAGTTGCCTTTGAGGAATGAAGCTGTTTCTTGCTGTCCCTAAAAGACGTGGCCACACTATGACCTTTTGTGGCCATTTGTTTGTGTGCAAATGAAAAATATTTCACCCTTACCTGCCAGATCTGCGGTTCAGGGATCATCCAACACCAAGTGTCATAACAAGCTCCTGGCCCTTGTGTTCCTCACTGAGACCTCACAGAACAAGAGGACTTTGTCACATCGGGTCCACTGAGAGGTGTCTCATTCCCTATCTCAGCCTGGGCATGAACGTCAAGTTCATGTGCCATGGCCCAAGTTGCTTGGAGATGGTGGTTTTCCAGGAAGATGGGTTTCTTCTCCCTCCTTTTCCTTCCCACCATCACTCCTTTTGGCCTCTTTCCAAGCAAAGGAAAGACCCCCACCATTTTCAGAGGAGAACCCCTGGAGAAGCAAGTGGTGTCCAACATGGATGAGGGCCAGTTGATTGCACAAGCAAGTGCAGCTGGGGTGAACTCCGGCACAGGCAGCCAGAAGAGCAGGAAGAGGGTATGGTACCCTCTGAGTCCTCCTGGTCCAGGTGATAAGGCAGCAAATCTGTTGGCTGCTCAATAAGTTAATGTTGCTGGAGAGCTGGACATGGAGTCCTTTGCAGAGGCGGTGATGAGTACGATGCAGATGTGAGATCTACATGCATTTTTAATGCCCATAAGAGAAAAAAAAAAAAAAAAAAGCACTCTTCAAATGTTTATTTCCTTGCTTAACAAGAGGGTTTATTACTCCTCTCGCTACTACAGGAAGGCTGTATAAGCACTTTGCTTGAAAAGCGAACGCCAGTCCGCAGCCGTAATTAGATTCGAGCCCTGCTTTACTCTGTGTAAGCTAGAAACAGATAAGGGAATCGGCGTGCATTTGCTTTGCAAATTGCTGGAGTGGTTTCAGATGTTACCCTTTTCTTCTGCCTCTTTGTTCCTGTCCCTGAGAGTTGGCGTATGGGAGGATTTAACCCCTGCTCTGCTTTGCAGTGAGATCAACTGGGTTCGCCTAGTGCTTGGGTAGGGTCCCCCCGTTAAAATGCTGCCTAACAGCCTTGGTGCTCTGACATCCTGGACCCACAGCGCTAATTCTGCTCTCTGCATGGCTCCAGCACTTAGCAATATAAAAACAAGAGGGTACTCAGCAAAGCAGAGAGGGAGCAAATAGAAAATGGGTTGAAGAGCTCTTTTTTATATCCTGCAATTCATGTGCAGAGTGACTGCTGCAAGCTGGCCCAGGGCATAGAAGCATAGAGGGAGGTGAAGAATGATTAAATGTTTCTGGGTGGTGAACTGTCCCCCAAGGAAGAGTCTCTGGTTTGCCTATCTTGTTTTGATGTTTTAATAACTTTTTTTTTTTTTGGTAATTTAAAACAGTCAGAAATGGTAACTTGAGGTTCAGGAGGTGATTTGGTCTGTGGACAGGATATGCTCCCTGCATTTAACTCAGGCCAGTCTTGGAGAGCTAGATACTGATTCTGCTGGTCAGGTCTTGTGGCCTGATACTTTGCTTTAAACCCTTCATTTCCTGGCCTGTATTGCAAGTTTCTGCTCTTGCAGCCCATTTCTCATTTCCAAACCCACAATGTCCCTTTTTTCCTAGCTAAAGTCACTGCTCTGTGGGAAACTGTGGGTCTCCCTGGCTAAGCATTTTCTCCTCTTTTCTGCTCCTTGCAGTCATTTGCACTTAATAAATGATTTCAGGACATGATTCTGAGCTGACTAGGAAAGGGTCAGTGGCAATGAAAGGAACAAGAGCTTCTCAATGCTGTGGTCGCATCCTATAATGCTCTAAACTGAGCATTCACCTGGGTCTTACTCCAGTTTGTCTTCTCCCAGGTCTGCTCGCCAGGGCTTGTCCCAGAATGTTCTGTTTAGTCCATAACTGCTTGAGGGAAACTCTTGGGCCCTCTTGCTGTCTGTACTGAAGGGATGGTTCTCTGGACCTAGGGATGCAAGCTGCCTTCACACGTTCAATTAATTATCTTGATTAAAAGCATCTGTTTTTCTCAGCTCTGAGATGCTTTAAACTGCTTAGGTGCTGAGTGAATATCTTGAGTGATTGCCTAGAAAATAAGGTTTTGCCAGCCAGCCCAGGCTACAAACCACATCAAACCAGGGTAGGGGACTTCATTCAATTATTGGGATTACTATTCTGTTGAGCCTGTTGGCCTAATTTCACCAGCTGTTGCCAGAAAGGAGGTGAGAGGATTTGGGAGTAACATCCTGAGAGACTCCCTTGAGTAATCCCTGAGTAACCTGCCTTTTTTTTTTTTTTTTTTTGGTCACCCCCCCTGACTCTCTGCTTGTTTTTTCCTGGATGTCACATAGGCCTTGCTGAAATTGGACTGCCAGGGGCTTGTCGTGAGGCTCATTCAGGACTTTGTGCTGCTGACCACGGCCGTGGAGGTGGCCCAGCGCTGGAGGGAGCTTGCTGAGAAGCTAGTCAAGGTCTCCAAGCAGCAGATGGATGCCTACGAGGCCCCGCACCGGGACAAAACGGGGGTAGTGGACAGCGAGGTGAGAGCCCTCCACGTTGGAGGGTTTCATGGGTTTCCTGAGACTGTTTTCGCTTGTGGCCAGTGCTCCAGATGTCTACAGTGTCTTCTTCTGATGTGCCCTTAGGGAATAAATGGGATTTAAATATGATGAGGACATTCTGGGGTGTTTATATCTGAAATAAATTTGCTCAGGTATCACTGCATGTTGGGGATAGCGTTACTCGCTTGCTGGCTGTTCTGCCTCAAGCACCGGGGAAGGCCACTGCGGCAAACTGTTGAGAGCCACAGCTCTTGGATCATCTCTGTTCTTCTCCTTCCCTCTCTCCCGTGTGACGCAGGCCATGTGGAAGCCAGCGTATGACTTCCTCCTCACCTGGAGCAGCCAGATCGGGGACAGCTACCGCGACGTGATTCAGGAGCTGCACACAGGGCTGGACAAAATGAAGAACCCCATCACCAAGCGCTGGAAGCATCTCACAGGCACGCTGATCCTCGTCAACTCCTTGGACATGCTTCGGGCAGCAGCCTTCAGCCCACAAGACCACGAAGATTTTGCTATCTAAGTCGGGTTTCCTGGAGCAAGACGTTCTTCCGCGTCTCATTTGTTACTGGTGTCTTTATTTTCTGTGGGTTTTTTCCCTTTTTTTAGTAGCTGATTTTTAAAAATAAGTGGAGATTGCTCTCCCTGGGTTTTAGGAGGCCAAAGTTTGCAAGTTTTCACCAGGACTGGAAATCAGCAGGAGACATCTCTCCTCTTAGTGGGAGGGCATCCAGAGCAGATGTTTTTGTTCTATGCTGTGGAGAATTGATGCCAGTTAAACTATTTCTATTAAAAAGTCTAAAGCTGTCAAAGGATGGAGAGGGGAGTGGGAGGGAAAGATCGCAAAAAAGCGAACACATTTTTTTAGGCAATTAAAAATCTAATTTTTTAATGAGCAGTGAAGGTTGTAACCACTTTAGGGGGAAGTTTTTTTTTTTATGTTGTAGGAACTGCTTTTAAATTATCATCTTTGAGATGAACATGAATCATGTAAATACGTATTTAAGACAAAGCACAGTGAACGCCCTCTCCCCACCTCTGCTGCCAGGCTTTGGCTGGCCACCCAGCGTGACACTTCGTAAAACACCGGATTGACTTGGGATGTCTTCAACCCAGCAAGCCTCTTAGACTGAAATAAGCCTTTTTTTTTTTTTTTTTTTTCTCCTGGTTCACAAGCCCCATGACCTGTTGCTTTTGGTTGCTTTTTACTATGTACTTGCAAGTATGCATTTTCTCTTTTGTGGATGGAGAGATGCTCATTGCCTATTTTCAAATGCACAGGTACCACTCTTAACCAGGAGAACTGGCAGTGCCCCCCACACCTGGCTGAGGGGATGGTTCATGCCAGCTGGTCTCCTGGGCATCCCAGCTGTTTTTTTCTGGAAGAAGCTGGAGAGAGTTGTAGTTGGACAGAGACCCACTCCTTGCTGCCCTGTGGAAGCGGCTGGTAAGATGCTGGGAATGGTTAGCCCAGCCGTTGCAGGGAAATGTGCTTGGATGCTTCTTCCCTGGAGTTTATGGCCTGGGAAACTGGCCAGAAAGCAGAGGAATTGTTGCAATCTACATCCCCCCTTTAAAAAAAAAAAAAAAAGAAAAGAAAAAAAAAAAAGAGAGAGAGAGAGAGAAAACGTCTCACCTAACTTGAAATCCAATCCAAAGCTCACTGAAGACTTGTTACTCACTGGAGATTTGTTACACGACTTAATGCTCATTGCCATTGATTTCAGCGAGCTTTGAATTGAGCTGTTAAAGGTTCCTGAATTCCAATTTAACTTGTAAATATTCTTTGCTATAAAAATGGTGCCATGGAGCTAAATAGTGCTATGTGGCACTACGTGCCCATACTTTTCCCCCTTCTTTTTATAGCTGACTCTTTTGAACAACCTCCTCCTTCCTCCTGCTCCCCAGCTTTGAAATATTTTACATGGGAGGAAAATATTTTTGCACAGAAAGATGATTTTATTTTAAGTGCAACGTTCCTTTATAGTAAAACGCTGCTACACAGAAAGGTTAGTTGTTAATGACGCTTTCATTTCATGTCGATCCAAAATGAAACAAAAAACCCACCATGGAAAAGATGCATCATTTAAATCCCAGAACTTCACGCTGACAGCAGCACACAAGAAACAGGTTACTGCAGCCTTGCTGCCAAGCAGGATGGGGATTTATCATTCAGTTGCAGGCGATGGTAATATTTCTCCACTGCAAACCTTGGGAAGTTGCAGGTGACATTAGCTCCCTGGCCACAGCTGAGCTTGGGACAATTTGGCTGGTTCATGTTGTCCATCTTTTTTTCTCCCTGTGATCTAAGATAGGGGCAGCGTGATGTGATCTGCCCGATCTACGCAGGATGTGGGCGTTTGATGGACTCTTGGTGCACCGGTGGATCATGTTAGCAGAGCAGTCTCCTCTTACAAGGACTATCCATTCCTGTCTGCTCTCATGTCCTCTTCCCAAAAGCAGATCCCTGGAAACATTTGCTTCCAGTGGACCCAACAAGAAAAGTAAATAGCACCTTAGTTTCTCCTCAGGGGCTTTAAGGAGTTTCCTATGCAACCTACCATAGCACAGAAATAGAGTCTGTCAGACCCACCTGAGCCCACCTTGTATCTGCTTTTTATTTACAAGAACAGGCCACCACCAGAGCATTGTTTCCATGCACCAAGCAAAAATCTCTGCTGCAGTGAGGAGAGAGGTTGAGCTGACGGGCAGATCCGCTCCTGGGCCAACTCATGGGCATGCCACGCAGTTTTTTCCTATCTGCTTTACCCAAATATTGTTTTTTGCTGGTCAAGAGATATGTGCGGAATGAGGCCTCGGTCCTGTGAGCAGAGCTGTGCTGGTCCAGAGTTCTGCAGAGCAGCTGAGCCTTGGTAGAGGCTCTTGCAGGGCTTGAGCCAGGTTGTTCCAGGAGGCAAAGGAGGAAAGAGATAGGAGCAAGGCCCTTGCTTGTCTCCTGAGCCTCCAGGGCAGAAGTTTTGGCCTCCTGCAGTGCTGACACGTTAGGGACATCCCCGAATAATTCCAACATTTTGTTTTTTCCCCTGTTGTGTTTTCTATCTACCTCAGATACTCTGTATACTTGGTTTAACATTTCAGCAGCAGCCTAAAATATGCCATACTCAGATCTTCTGCTGTAGGCATCCGCCCTCACCCTTCCTGAGAACCACATGAGCACAGCCATCACGTTTCGGGATCGATGGAATAACCACTGCATTAATTTGTCCCCATCCATGGTCAGAAATCCAGTCTCTCCTACTGTGCTGGGACTGGGGGTACATTTTTTAAACGTCTTTTGCCCGTTAGATGTCAAGTCCTCCAAAACTTCGATCTGGGCTTTGCATTACTACAGTTTCTGCAGTAACTGGTTATTGTACTTAAAATTTAATTCTTTTTTTTCTCTTTTTTTAAGAACAAACTTTTTGGAAAAAAATATTATGATTAAAGCTGTTATTATTCCAGTGCTACTGAGTGGACTTAATCTACTGTTGTTTTATGGTCACAGGGCAACTTTGGTTTTGATGCATGAGCTTAATTTAATAGGTTTTCAACACATGAACATATTTCTTGGAGCAGCTTTCTGCACCTAGAGCCATGGGTTCTTTGGGTCTTAAGCCCTACTTCGTAATCTCAATGTAATCTCAATTCAGGTTGTGTTTATGTCTTGACCTTTCCAGAGGTAATTCACTGAAAACAATCACACTGCAACTTGGTGGTCTTAGGAGAGAAAAGCCAAATATAGATTTACTGCTTCTAGATATGTATTTATTCTAGGTCCCAAGCTGTTGTTTGTGTCCAGGCACTAAGACAGACAAGAAATTTTTAAAAATGAGAAAAGATTTGGTTGCCCCTTTGCCACATTTGTTGTGGTGCAATATTTTCCAATATCTGTTTTCTGAATGGAGAAAACGTTTATTTTATACTCAGCTGAAGGCTATTAAGACAGTTGCACAAGGTGAGTAGATGTGTAAAAACAGACTTTGCCATGTTAGAGAGTTGTATTGAAGACATCAAGGCAAAGAATTTCCAATTGCATAATGTTCATATTCCCACATCTCTGCTGCCAGGTTGTTTTTAACAGTTCCAACAGGTTGATGGTTGATACCCGCATGGACTTGGGCTCCTACCTCAGGCTGGTGGTCTCAGTGCCATCGGGGTGAGCTGAATTCAGATTTCAGGACTCAGAACAGACGTATCTAGCTATCTGGCTCTGATGGTGGCTTCCTTTTGCCAAGGGTGAAGGATAGTCATGATGGTTTGATTTAATCTTTGGCAAGCACGACTTGCGGTTTGGCACAGAGATCGCAGCCGCTTTGCTGAGCCAGGGCCGCTGCTCCTTGCGGATGACAAGGAAGATGGATCCCGCAGAGGCATGTGCTTAGGCCTTGCTTCCTGCGCATCTGGATGGGCGAAGGAAGGCCTGCTGTGTACCCCGCACATTACGGTGCTGCATCTGCCCCGTTCGTGTGCTTTGGTCCATGGATGCCTTTTCTTGTCTTCTGAGGGCAGGTGGCCCAGTAGTTCATAGGTGGACTCGTGCAGTCCCAGGTTCGTGGCTGCATCCGTGGGCTCTGCTGCTGTGCAGAGGAACTACTCGTGGTGGACGCTCTTAGGAATGTGCCCAGGTAAACTGAAACGCTCGCTAGAGAGGTAATCCTTAGGAGAGAGGATCGTTGGCAACTCTCAAGCGCAAGTACTGCTCTAGCCCTAAGGCTCAGCCTTGGGTATTTTGAGAGTGTCTGAGCTTTAAAATTGTGCATCCTGCACAACTGAGTGTTTGCTTTAGTCAGGGGACTTTGCAGCTATCTATGATTTTACCGGTTGCATTTTATTCTCAACTGTCTGATGTTTTTTTCCAGCTGCTTTCCCAGAACTGCTTGTTACTTGCTTTGCGCAGATGCTTTGACTGGTACATGAACCAAGACAAAAAGCAGTGGAATAATGATCCCAGATTAGATTACATCAAGGGATCTGTTATTCCAGTAATGGTACACTGGCCTGCTTCCTTGGGAGCTGCTGCTAGCTGCCTATCCCATTGCTTTCCTTTCTTTTCTCTCACTTTTAATGGCTAGCAATGCTATGCTGATAACAAGGTCTCTGGACCCAGCTGCCCTTCCTCACTTGTTTCCTTTCCTTAGTGAAAAGAGGTAGTGCCAGTAATCTGGGACTTGTAATGGATACTGGGGCTTCACCATATAGGTATGCATGAAAATGCATTCCCCAGCCCAGTGAGCCCTGTGCCCCTTCCAGATGCTCTCATGTGGGTGTTTCCCCTCCACAGGTGCCCTGTAAATATTTTCCACCTGCAGACAATTAATCTCCAGGTTCTCCCAATTACCAGCCTGTTCCCAGGCCCTAGGCTCATTTCCCCCAGGCTGTTTGTGCTGGGCCCTCCTAGACCTGGTTCTTCTTTAAGGGGATTATTGTTCTCTTTCCAAGTGTGCAGGCATGAGGATATTTGGAGGGGAAGATGTCTTTGCTGCCCTGGAGGAAGGGAGCTGTAGAAATTAAGGCAGCCCTGGCTTGTGCTCAGCCGCAAAGGAGGTGCAGATTCACCCAAGGATGAGCATATAGGGAC